TGGCTTAAGGGCATTTTTTGGTGCTGAGACTTGAATCCAGGGCCTCATGCAAGCTAAACATACATCGTAACCACTGAGTTATCCCTCCAGTCCTAAATAGTGAATGTTTTATGCATATTAATAAACAATTAAGATTTATAAGTAACTGGCTCTCTCTCCAGTGTATTTAAACAAGCTAAGTCTTTTCCACCTTTAAGCAAACACACACATCCCCTGAGCCACATGTCCCTCTCTTCTCTGCAGCATCCAAAGCTGGGGGAGAGGTGTCTGTCACTGCTATTTCTTCACCTCCCCCTCCTGCCTCAGCCCAGGCTTTCACCTGCACTGTGCCACCAAAACAGCTCAAGCAATGGCCACCAATTACCTGTGTGTGTCTAAATCCTGTATACTAAACAGAGCAGCAAATCTAATGGACTTAGTGCTCTACATGTTAGGACAGATGCACGCTGTAGCTGTTTCTCCACCTGGCTGAACAGTTGCGGACAGGCTGCTTACTGAGCCTTGGTTTCCCTCTGGTTGACACTCCCAAAACAGAAGTGACTGCAGAAGTAATAAGAGAGTTTGCTGCTGCTGAGGTACCATGAATTAGAAAAACTTAACTCCAATGAATCTTATGTGGAACCAGCTTTGCATACTCATTTCTTTCTGCAAGTCTCTAACTCCCAAGAACATATCCAGTAAAAAACAGCAGAAAAAAAGAAAATCTGTGACATTTTTGATCAGAGGCTTTCAAATATCTCTCAAAATTCAGCTATCAAAAATGTGGTCTCTCTACTAAAACTTCACTGCAATCAAATGACTGTTTTCAAAGACTTCAGTTTTCCTTATGAACTTTCATGGAGGTGCAATCAAGCAAGTTAGAAAGAGTAGAGCTCTTAAGACTCTGGAGCCAGACTGCCTGTGTTCACACTTATAACTCTACCACTCACTGGCTGAGTTAACCTGGCCAACTTACTTAACTTCTCTGAGCTTTAGTGCAGATAATAACAGTAAGAACTAAACTAAAGAATATGACACGATACCTGGCACTCAGAAATGTTTAATACAGTGTTGATATCATATAGACATTACAAAACACACAATTACAAAAAGTCACTCAATTTCATATGGAAAATACATGCACGCTTGCTATTCTTTTTATATTTTCAAGATAATGGCTGAGAATAATGACAGGTAGCAAGAATATTCTGCCCTTACTTAGCACTTTGTCCGTATTAAATAAGATATTGCATCTCTGTTCATATCCATAAATGAAGAGTCCATATCTATAAGTGAGTTATCAAAAATTTTTCCACGTACAAATATTTTAAAACATTTTTTTGTCAAGCCTACAAACAATATAATTTAAGAGCAGCAATATAACCTAAAGAGACATCATGGGAAAAGATGGGCCTTAAAAAAAGATAAGTACAAAAGATTTTAAGAATGTAATTATATTCCTCAACACGGCTAACATGTTGAAGAGTATTAATAGATATAGATGCTTCATTAACAAGGTAAAGAGCAGCAACACTTGTGGGGTGATGACTACTCTTACCGTTTCTCCAGGTGAAGGTTAGAAGGGTCATATACCTACGTGGACAGGCACCTGTCTCCGCATTTGGTATTTGGAGCAGATGGGCCATTGAGATTACATTACCCCAAACCTGTTCCATCCTGATTATCACTGCTTTTACAAGGGACAACCCCTATCTCCACTGAGCTTAGCAAGTTAACAGAATAAACACAGTCTTTCAGTCATGTAATCACATTCTTATTTATTCCATCTATAAACCAAATAGAACAGTAAGTCACTCCTGAACAAAAGATCACCCGAAGAACATCAAATCTGCGCATATAGTTTTTGTGGTTTTTGAAACTTAAAACAATAATCACAGCAGCAAGCATCTACTGAGTACACATTATGTTCCAAGTTCTTTGTACGCATCAACTAACTTGATCTTTATAGTAACCTTATGAGAAACATGTAAGATTAAGGGACCTGCCCAAGATCACAATAATGTACAGCAAGTTTGAAGGCAGGGGATTTGGACCCAGGAAGTCTTTTTTCTTTGAGACAGGGTCTTGCTCTGTAATTTAGGCTCGTCTTAAACTCTCTATGTAGTCTAGGCTGGTCTCAAACTCTCAGCAGTCCTTCTGCTTCAGCCTCCCGTGTGCTGGGATTATAGGGAGTGCTGGGATTACAGGCATGTGCCACCACACCCAGCTGACCCAGGCAGTGCTGAGTCTCACAGGTCATGCTCCTAGCTTCTAACAGACATAGGATACAGCCCCTGCACCCCTGATTCCCTTCCCCAATACACTATAACTGGTGGGATCCTATCACAGAAGCTGTTTCCTACAAGTACGCTATCATCCAAGCATTTCAACTCTGATAATCACTTACAATTCCTCTTATCAAAATTAATCTACAATAGTGGACAATCTACACATAATAATCTCTAAAATACTAACAACATTACAACGGTTCTTACACATGGACTTGTTTCAGCTGTTTTCCCAAATTTCTCTTCTCAAATGGGACCACTGGCCACAAGACTGGGCCTTGAGATACAGAGTGAAATGTCACTAGGTACTATGCAATGTTTTCTAATGCTCATTAGTGGTCATTTCTATTTAACAGCAATTATTCCCTTAAATGATGGCCACTTTAAATCAACGCTGTATGAGCTCCCTATGGTAGTTCCTATTCTGCCACTGGAGTAATGGCTCATCACTAAAGACAATGACAAGCCACCACTCCAACTTGCTATCCCACTAACCGGTAGCCAAATTACTTCTATCTAGGCCATTTCTTACAGTTCACTACTAAAACACTTAAAATGTGCATTCTACAATTAGGGTTGGAAAAATCTAAACTTCTGAAGAAAAATCTAATGCCAAAAAAAAATCTAATAAACTCAATACTATGTTCTTTTGTGGCCCACATGACAGTTTTGTAAGTAGGTTCTAACAATGTGACACACAATTTTTTTTTTTTTTTCTTTTTTGAAGACAGGATCTCACTATGTAGTTCAGGCTGGCTTTGAACTCACTATGTAGTCCAGGCTGGCCTCAAACTTGCAGCAATCCTCCTGGCTCAGCCTCCTGAGTGCTAGGATTATGGGCACGTGCCACCATGCTTGGCTAATCAGGTGAAATTTTTATGTTAAGAAATTTTTTGAAGGCTGGGTGTGGTGGTGCACACCTATAATCCCAGCACTCAGGAGGCTGAGGCAGGAGTATCATTGTAAGACTGAGGCCAGCCTGGGCTACAAAGTGAGCTCAACTGAACTGCACAGTGAGACCTTGTCTCAAAATAACCAAAAAAAAATTTTTTTCTTGAAGAAGAAATGAGAAACTCCTCTGCCAAATAACTATTTTGAGATGTCCACAACACTGTTAAACTGATATTGAGAGGATAGTCCAGGTACATTTCAATGTGGAGTTATAAACATCAGGTTTCTGCCTAATAAACTGCTGTGTAATTAATGTTTATCCTACATTCCTGATAGAACAATATCCAACAGTTACCCTTGGGTATCAGACTAGAAAAGCTTTAACATCTAAGTCTCAGTAAATTCCTTCCACTGAGCCTGAATGTCACAAGACTAGCAAGTTTCCAGATTATCTAGGCAACAACCACGTCTTAATCAAACAGTTTTCGAGTCCTGAAGCAGGGGAAGAACCTCCTGATGAAACCTGTGCACCTTCTTCCAAGAAAGTGCAAAGTTCACAACAGATTCCTAGTCCCACAAGAACTCTGCTCTATGCTGTGCACAAAATGAAAGGAGAAAAGTGCTGGCAATCCTGGACAGAAAAACCAATCGTTCCATTTACAATGTTAGGAAAAGCAGACCTTTCCACAGATTCCAAACTAAAGGCATCGACTGCGGTAGTGATTAGCTCGAAGACAGCTCTGGTCAAACACATAGATCCTCCCTGCCCAGAACTTTGCTTCGGAAAGCAACTCCAGATGGTGGACATTAAGCTTGTCTTTCAGTACTCGCCTCAGATGTCTCATCCATAGAAAAGATTACTTTCTTAACCATCCTATGTAAAGCAGTCCTCAACCCCTCTTATCACTTCTTAGTCTTTTACTTTGACAGTAGTACTTATTACTATGCAAAAATGTCTTGTTAATTTTATTTACTTATTTTGTCTGTCCTGTTAGAGTGTATTTTAGAGGGGCAGGATCGTGTTTGTCTTGTGCCCCACTGTGTCCTCGGTGCCTGCAGCAGTGCCCGGTACACTGTGGTCATCTGATATATAAATAAAAGAAAGAAGGCTGATGCTGGCATTAACGATCATACTTTTAAACTAGCTATGGTACGAGTTAGACTTCTCTCCCTCTTTCCTGAATCTCCAGGTCCATTCAAGCAGTAAATATTTACTGAGCACCTACTGTATGCCAGGTACTGTAGCAGTTGCATGAGAGCATCTCTGTTTACAGACACTAAAATTCAGGGGACCTCCCAGAATAAGCAGATGTCTCGCAAGTGACAGGTCTGGCGTGTACAGATCATCCTCTACGTGCCCTCTCTGAGGGAAAGAGCAGAGCGAAAGGAAATCCCCAAATGAAGAGAAAACGTTCACCAATCAAGAACTTCAAAATCAAGCCTCAGGGGTTTCCCAGCACCAGTTGGGCAGCTCTTTCTGCCAGTTTCGCTCACGTGGGGGAACCTCAACTAGCTGAACCCAGGTAAAGAAAAAACTTAATAAAGGCAATTGCTTCTGAAGACTTGGAGGTGACTGGGAGAGGAACCAGGAAACTGGACAAGGAGTCGTGGCAAGCGCCCCGAGCAGTGGAGCTGGAGAACCAGCCGCGACTGTCGCCAACTTGCTAGGTGACCTTGGGCCAGTCCCGAGCACCTGGGCAGCAATCAGGTCCCCCGGGGTATAAAGAGGAAGAGGCCGGGTCGGGTATTCGGGGTCAGGGGGAAGCGGAAGCCAGGAGGCCAGGCGGGATAACGGCCAGAGTGGGATGCCGGCGCGGGGCCGGGCCGGGGCGGCTCACCCACCGAGCGCCACCTGGCAGGCCCTTCGCAGCTGGGAGTGCTGGGGCCGCTTCACCTCCTTGTCGGCTAGAATCTTCTCCAGCGCCCGGGACACGAACATGCTCTTGGTCTGGCTCTCCTGCATGGCCCCGGCCCGGCAGGGGCTGGCAGCCCCGCGGGCTGGCGGCGCGAGCTAGCGGGCGACAGAGACCGTGGGCCCTGCCTCCCGGCCGGCACGGGCCGCGTCCGTGCGCGCCGCCCAGTCAGGAAGAGACGCCCCGGCCCCACGGCGCCGCCATGTTGGAGCGCGTCACGTGATCACGTGACTGGAGGGGCCAAGGCGGCCGCTGAGCGTCCGTCGACCCCGTGACCCGAAGGGGCGGGGCCTAGTCTGGGCGGGGCCAGATGGGGACAGGGGCGGGCTGGAGGGAGGTGAGGCGGAGAGGTGAGCTAGAGTGGGTGGAGAGAAAGGGACCCGGGGAATGAGGAAAGGTAAGAGGGAGGAGGGAAAGTGCGGGGGGCGGGGTACAGGTGAGGAAGAAGGACAGAAGGAACGTGTGCGCGGGAAGGAGGAAGGGGAAAGAAGGGTGGGAGAGAGTTGGTACTGAATTAAGGGGGCGATCAGGAGTGGCAGAGGAAGGAGAGGCGAAGCGTGGAGATGCAGCAGGAGGGGAGAGAGAGGAGGGAAGAGTGAGCGGAAAGAGGAGGTGGGGAGAAAGAACCAGAGGGAGGTGAGCGTGGGGAAGGAGGAGGCGACAGAGAAGATGGGAAGAGGAAGTGACAAGAGGGAAAGGGGTAAAACGGAGAAAATGTGGGGGAGGAGGGGAGGCAGCTTGGAAAGAACATGCTGGGGATGGGGAGAGGAGGAAAGGAAGGGCGCGGCCGTGGAGGGGCTTGCTGCCGGGAAGGGCTTGTCTCCCCCTGGAGTTTCTGATCTATTTTCGTAATCCTGAGTTCCACACAGTGAGGTGAGCAACACACAGTGCCTTGCAGCATTTGACAGGAGAAGAACTTGACCGAGGTGGCTAGTGTGACAGCCGAATGAATAAAGAAGATAAGGGGCTGGGGCTGGAGCTCAGTGGCAGAGTGCTTGCTGAGCATGCAAGGTTCTGGGTTCAGTCCCCAGCACTGGCCTGGGGGGAACCCTGGTCACAGCCTTCTAGGGCTGCTTCCACTCCATCCTACAATGGGGATGATATCACAGCAACCATAACGGATGCCCCTGGGCTTTCTCCAGGTGATGGTCTCCCAAGGACAGCCTTGGTACTGCAGCTCACTTGGAAGCCTAAGGAACTTCCCACATAGGTACACTCAGATGTTCAGGGCTGACCTCTGCGTGGTGGCGCAGGGTCTCACTTAGTCACTAAATTGTTTTTTTTTTGTTTTGTTTTGTTTTTGTTTTTGTTTTTCTCCGGTACCGGAACCGAACTCACGACCTTGCGCTTGCCAGGCAGGTGCTTTGCCACTGAGCTAAATCCCCAGCCCGAGTCACTAAATTTTCCAGGCTGTGTTTTAGGAAAAAAAGAAAAGAAAAAAAGGGCCATTAGCGCAGCTCAGTGCAAAGTCCCTGGGTTTACTCCTTTGGTTAGTACTGCAACACACCTGCACACACACTCACACACAAACCCTCAGGTCTCAACTCAGACATTTCCCTGGCCTTCCCAGGCCACTCTACCTAGTTGAGGTTCTCCACAGCACCTGCTGACCTTTTGTACTTGTTGACTTGTTTGTGGTTTCACTAGAGCAAGGCTACAGAAGGACAGGCTGTGTCCCCAGGTCCTGGTCCAGAGCCAGGCAGACTGTTTCATGGACATAAGTCCCATACTTTCCATTGCTTATACAGTCATGCGATTTTGCAGCTCCTCCCAGCAAGAGGTAAAGTCTGGCTGGGAATAGTGGCACATACCTGTAATCCCAGCTATTGGGGAAGCTGAGACAGGAGGATTGCAAATTTGAGGCCAAGATGGGCAACTTGGCCTCAACTTTAGAAAGACCTTGTTTCAAATTTTAAAAAAAGTTTTCTTAAATGTACAGAATAAAAGAGCTAGAGATGTAGCTCCACATTCCCTGAGTTCATTTGGCAGAGAGAGAGAGAGTCTGTTTCTTGATCTCCTTGAACCTGGACTAGCCTTGTGACTTGCCTTGACCAACAGAATGTGGTGAAGGTGAGGCTGTTTGCATACCAGAGCCTGGTTGTGAAGAGGCTTGACCCACTCCTTCTTCACTCTCTTATAATGCTGCATGATGCTCAGAAGCAGCCCTGGAAGAAAGAGCACATGGAGAAAGCCCAGTCCTTAGTCAACATACCAGTTGGATTCAGCAGCATGAGAGACCTTGGTGAGAACAGCAGCAGAACTGTTCAAACAACCCACAGACTATGGAAAGCAACACTTGGTTATTTTAAGCCCAACATCTTGGGGTAACTGGTTTCACAGCAACAGATCACTGAGATACTGCTTACTGCTTGTATGTTGAATGAATGAAAGAGTGAATGAATGTGTGAAATTCTCAGAGAAGCACAGGACAGTCTTCTGAGTGACAAAATTTTTACTTAAGATTGAATCCAGGCCCTTTGTACTGAGCTATATCTTCAGCCCCTTTTTATTTTGAGACAGGGTCTCACTAAGTTGCTAAGTTGCCCAAGCTAGGCTCCTCTTGCCTTAGCCCCTCAGAGCATGCCACCGCACCTAGCTGAGTGACAAGTTTTGGGCCATACCTGGGGGCAAGGTCAGACCATGTCACTCTCCTGAAAAGCCAACAGTGGCTCTCCACCCTTGGAATGGAGTCTCAGTTTCCCACTGTGGCTGATGAGGTGAGATAGAAGTCTTCTGACTTCTCTGACCTTATCTCTCTCCTGCTTTCCTTCTTCTCAGGACTCACAGGCCTCTCTAGATCCCATCTTGCCCTATCAAGGGTTTGACTCGTGTTTTTGGCAACTCTCAACAAAGGCTATGCCACCCCAAAGGGTATTTTTTTTGTTTTGTTTTTTTTTGAGACAGGGTTTTGCTATGTAGTTTAGGTTAGCCTTGAACTCACTGTGTAGCCCAGGCTGGCTTGGAACTCCTGGTGATCCTCCCGTCCTGAGTGCTGGGATTACAGGTATGAACCACCACCTTGGGCTAACAGTATATATTTTTTCACAACAGGGAGAGCAGTGATATTAGACAACATCTTTCATACAGCTGGAGACTCCCATTTTTATGGGTTAAATATGAAGTCCCTCCCCAAAGACCCATGCATTAGGGCTTGATCCCCAATGCTGCAGTGTTCACAGCTGGAGCCTAGAGAGATGACTGGATGTTGGGGGCACTGACCTCATTGATGGGTAGGTTTCATTCTGTTAATGAGTTCCTAGCTGAATGGGCTGTTAGGAAGCGGGGCCCAGTGGGAGGGAATATGTCACTAAGGGTGTGCCTTTCAGGGTACAGCTTCTCTCTGGCTCCTCTTTCACTCTGCTTCCTGGCTGCCATGGTTTGAGCAGCTTCCTCCACCACGCTCTTCCCCCATAGCAATTCTGTGTCGAAGCCAGCTGACCATGGACTGAAACCTCTGAAGCTGTAAGCCAAAATGAACCTTTTCTCCTCTAAGTTGCGTATGTCAGGCATTTTGAAAGGTGATGAACACAAACATATAGCAAAAAATGATGCCAGTGCCGCGTGATTGGATGTTTCTGGAGATACAAAGCCTGTTGATAATGATCTGAGCCTAGCACCTAAGTCCACTTTGCATAGAGCACAAAACATTTTTAGCTCAGTGTCATTAAGTTTTCCAGAAATGCAACTATGATTGTAATTCAAAGGAAAAAATATATTTTGTGAGGAATTTTACTAATGTCACTTGCCATTTGAAAACCCCGTGACCCAGCCATGATGTCTGATTGGCCACAATGCCAGCCCTGGTCAGTCTGCATTTGTAGCTGTCACAATCCAAGGGACTCCGCTTTTAGATTCCAGCATCAGACTGCTTCATTTTATCCTCTAGTGTAATTGTGCCTGAGCATTTAGCAACTGAAGTAAAATTAGTAAATTATGTATTGCCTTCCTTTTGTTTCATTTTTTTTAGATCGTGATCTTTTATTAAAACTATATATGTAGGAAGATTTTCTTGTCTGTGAATTCCACTTCAGAATCACTGGAACAGAATAAAAGATGCAGAAACAACTGCAAACACACTCAGCTACCTTATTTTTGAACAAGGAGTCAAATGCGTTCACTGGGAGAAAGATAGCCTCTTTTAACAAATGGTGCTGGGAAAACTGGCTTTCCACACATTGAATATTAAACCTAGACCCGTACCTCTCTTTACACACTAAGCTAAAATTGAAACAGACCAAAGGTCTAAATATTAAAAACAGAAACACTAAATCTGCTGTAAGATGTCATGCCTGACAGGTGAGGCCGTCACAGGCAGGCACGGAAGGAAACCACAGAACAAAGCCGTGTTCAAACTGACCACGCTTGTATCTGCCCTGCCCGTTCAGAGAAGCACAACCAAACTATCTCCACCCCCAGATTCCTCAATGCAGCAAACTCCTCCCCTCCCCTTTAAGTCCTTTGTTCTGCCCTCACTTCTCGCTTCTGGTTGATTCCACGCTCCTAACTCAGTCCACTCCCACGGAAGTGAATAAACAACCATGGTTGCTTATACAGAGTTTGCTCAGGTGATCTCACGTCCCTCTGCACTTTTAACGTAGAAGATAGAATAGGTAAAACTCCGGAAGACATAGATGTAGCCAAAAACCTGATTGCACAGAAAATATGATCACACACAAAACATGATCGCACAGAAAATATGACAAAGAGTAAACAACTGACATATGCAATAGGAGAAAAGGTTCATTTTGGCTTAAAGTTTCAGAGGTTTCAGTCCATGGTCAGCTAGCTTCGACACAGAATTGCTATGGGGGAAGAACGTGGTGGAGGAAGCTGCTCAAACCATGGCAGCCAGGAGGCAGAGTACAAAGAGGAGCCAGAGAGAAGCTGTACCCTGAAAGGCACACCCTTAGTGACATATTCCCTCCCACTGGGCCCCCGCTTCCTAACAGCCCATTCAGCTAGGAACTCATTAACAGGTCAAATTAAAAAGCTTTTCCATAGTGAAAGAAATGACCAACCAAGTGAAGAGACAGCCCACAACATGGGAAAAAAAAATTTTTTTTTGTACTGGGAATCGAACTCATGACCTCAGGTGTGCCAGGCAAGTGCTTATGCTGCTGAGCTATATCCCCTGCCTCAGGAAAAAATTTTTATCAGTTACTCCTCAAAGGACCAACATCTACAATAGATAAATAACTAAAAAAAATCAGATCTCTCATATTTAAAGACCCAATCCAAAAATGGGCATTTGAAAGGAACAGACGTTTCTCAGATGAAGTTGTACAAACAGCAAATAAATATATGAAAAAATGTTCAGTGTCACTGGTCATTTGAGAAATACAAATTAAAACAATGCCGAGATTCCGTCTCACTCCAGAAAGAATGGCTATCATCAAGAAATCAACCAATAACAAATGTTAGTGGGGCTGTGGGGAAAAAGGAAACCTCCACTCTTGGTGGGAGTGTAGACTTGTGCAACCATTGTGGAAATCAGCGTGGAGATTCCTCCAAAACCCAAAACTAGAGGTTCCATTTGATGCAGCTATTCCCCTTCTAGACGTCTTCCAGTGATATATAC